AGATGAGTGATGCTGAGGTGTTGCGCTTGCAGCAAATGACATCTCACCTCTGTGTCATAGTTTTGTGTCTGCCGTGCGATTCAGGAGATTGTTCAAAAGGGGCTCTCCTATACCTGCCCTATGAGTGCGACAAGGACGGAGCTATAGACGAGGTATAGGAGAGCCTCTCTTGAACGATCTCCTGAATCGCACAGCTGCAAAAAGAAGCAAGCTGTTGGTCCATCATTTGATGAAACTTCCCTGACTGGAGACAGCCCAGCACTTCACTAAAATTTGGAGCTTAAGCTTGTCTTTCAGTCTTGTTCTCAGTTAAGTCTGGTTGCTCTAACTTTGGGATTTTCAAGACAGTACTTGTCCATGTTCACACACGAATCGGTAGGAACTGGATGGCCTTCTGCCCCCAAGCAGTTTTCTGTCCTGCCTTTTGTCTGCCGTTCTTCTTGAGGCCGACGTACCAGCCAACGTGGGCGAACTTGCGGGACAGGTATGTGTTGTACTGGCCTAGCATCACCTCCACAAAGACAGTGCCTTCCTGGCGTACGTTCGCCTGAAATCGAAAGCGATATTTAGTACCTTCTCTTGGGCTGAGTACGTTTTCCTGGGCAGCTTTCAGCCTGTACCGGAACCCCCTTACCTGTCCGTACAACTTCCCCTGTCTATTCATGGCCAGGAAAAGGTTCGCCTCCACCCCGCGGATCCGTACTTCGCCGTTCGTCACCGAGCTGAACTCGAGCACAGCTGCAAACAGCACGACCGTGAGGATTACTTTTATGAGGGTGCTCGGAATACAATCGTGTCACACCATGACTTGAATCCCTGCGCAAGAAGGCAACCCACCCGATGCCACTCTTTGCTCAATACTCACCGTACTTGTCGGTGGGGTTGGTGGTGCCCGTGACCCTGCCCTTGGGCCCGATGCTCAGGTGGAAGCCTGTGCGGCAGTACAGCTTCATGCGGTTGCCGTACACGGGGTTCAGCCCCGCTGGCCGCCCCACGAGCCCGGCAGGGCCTGGGGGCCCCGGGCCTGGGGGCCCCGCAGCTCGGGGGCGGGGGCGGGGTGGCGCCGGTGGCGGGGCGGGGCGCTGCGGGGGCGGCGGCTGCACTCTGGACGGCCCGGAGGGCCCGGGCTGCACCTGCACCCTCAGCAGCGGCGCCCACACGGGGCCGCGGGGCTGCTGGGGCTGCGACAGTCGAGGGGGCGGCCAGCAGGACCGCTTCACCCTGCCGGGGCCGGCGGGGCGCCCGTACCTGGAGACACGGTGCTTCAGAGGAGGAGGCAGTGGCGCTAGGCCGTGGTTTCACAAAGGGACTTGGAATACTTGAGGAATCACTCAGAAAGTACGTCCGTTTATCTCAGATCCATTAGGCAAATCACGGGAGCCTGGGCGCCTGTGAGGCTCAGTATAGGCCACCCCGCATTGCTCGCATGCGCTGCACGCTCGATATTGCCTACCTACTAGGCGCTATGAGAACTTGCACATGCATGGCTGTGAACTGAGAAGGGCGGACGTCCTCTCTGTGTGATCCGCAAGGCCCTTCCTAAGGTGGCAGTACAAAGTTGTCTCGTCGCACAATGCCTGCGCCTGCGCCGCGGCACCTGGCGAGTAATAGGCATCCGGTCCGCAGGGCACGGCTACATGCAAAGTGCAAGTTTCTTCGAGGAGTGATTGATTGGCTGTTCAGTGCACGGATCCCATGTCTTTATTCATCTGTTCCCCACCTAGCCCTCCCGCTGCAGCGCCCTGCACACCGCCCCCATCCAGCTACAGAAATAGCGCGTGGCGGGCCGCTAGTGCGGCCAGGGGGCGCCTGTGCTGCCTGCGGGCCTGGCCCACCTCCCGCCGGCTGCAGCTCGCGCCGCCCATTCATTAGGTCGCCGCCCTTGTTCCTGGTCGCGCCGCTCCCACCGGCCGCCGCCGCCGCCTCGGGGCTCGCCGATGATGAGGTCGCGCGCCCCTATGAATGAGCGCGTCCATCGTTAATGAACTCGGCCAAACTGGCATCGGAAATGTGTGTGCCACGCAAGTAGGATCTGCCGGAAAGTAGGCTACGCGTCCGATTTTCTGAGATTGATTCGGCAAATTATGGCATAGCTGGGCGCCTGCGAGACTTGGAGTAGGCCGACCCGCAGTGCACGCATGCACTGCAGCCAAGATGTTGCCTACCTACCAGGCGCTCCGAGGACGTGCAGAGGCCTCACGGACGTACTTCCTGGATGACCCCTACGCAGCGCGTGCTTTCAGAAAGGTCCCTTCGCGATCCCTTTCAAACGGCCGCACTGCTCAGAGTCCTGCCCTGCGGCGCCACCTCCCTCTCCGCTTCCGTCTCTGGCGCGCGGCTCAAGTGGTTTAAGAGCGCCGCCTGCACCTCTTAATGGTCCTCATATCTATCTATATTAAGATCAAGGAAGCATGGCGCCGAATATCCAAGCGGAAGATAAATATAGGGAGGATGGGGTAAGCCATCTATCAATAGCTGACGGCCGGAAAATCTCCGCGGAGTAAATCCTGCTGACACGCGCGTCGTCACGCACAAAGGTTTTCATGTGGGGCATTTTTCACAGTGATCGTCACCGCAACGCAAACGATATCGCCCCCAGCCAAAGGCGTCGATGTGAGACGGCCGACAGGTAAAGGGGGAGAATGAGACGTCTTGGCAGCGCTCCGCCAGACTGACCGGCGGCCGTGCCTGGCGGCCGTGCGGCTAGCGGCTTTGTTTATTTACGAGCGCATGCTTCTGATCTATCTCACCTCACGCGACGCGACGCGCACTCGCCGGCTACAAATCGGTCCGGGATGGCGGTGGATGATGAGTGGAGGGGCGCTGTGCCACGCGGTTAATGAAAGCGCCCCAGGGCAACGGGGTCAACGCCGTACTTTCTTCAAATTCCCAAGCCCCCCAAACTAGGTGAACCATGTCGACTACCTGCTGGACAGACACCTTCTCTGGTCTCCTGGGTAATTGCATGGGCATAATGGATAGAATGCCTATGGGCTCATAAAATGCAACTACCAGGAAGACCAGAAGGTGTCCAGCAGGTAGTGGACATAGTCTGCACTTTCCTTCTCCGCGACTCACCCGCTTCCGTCGTCGTGGGTGGCCACCCCGTTGGGCGCATCGTCCACCGCATCTCCGCCGCTGCCGCCGCCGTCAAAGTCGTAGTCATCCTCGTCTTCCTCTTCATCGTCGTCGTCGTCGTCCGCCTCGTCGTCCTCCTCGCGGTGCTGGTCGTCGTGGCGCCGGTCGGTGGCGTCCATGGCCGCGGTGCGTGGGCGTGCGCGACGCGCCTCTCACTGCGCGCGCCCCCCGCGCCCGCCACCGCCGGGGCGTCTGGCGGCCCGGCGCCTTCAAAGCCCCCTCCCCTCCGACTCATCCTCCCGCCCCCCGCCCCGCCAGGACGGCGTCGGTCAACAAGACGGCTGCTCCCCGCCGCTCTGACGGCGGCGTTCCCAGCACCCCCGGCCCCAGCCCCACCCGTATCCCTGTCGCCAGCGTCAAGCGGAGCCGATCAGACCCGACAGCCTC